TATCAATATATCATATTGGCAGGTGTGCATGAATGGTATGGTATGTTGAATGTTCAAGTGTAAATAATTGGGATACTAATTTTAAAATTATCCCAAGCGGATACGTCGTATTATTATAACTTTATAGGTAATAGGTCTTCTACGAATCACCGAGTCGTTATTTAACGCAATACTGTAAGTTTGAAATAAAATTGATGGCTTTCGTATGATTACCTAAATTGTTGTTCGCGTTATTCGTATTTGTTCAGTGTATGATTGTAGTACACATGTCTACGGCGTGAATTGTCAATTTTTGTTGGTGTAATAATTTCATTGTAACATTCATAAGTACAAATTGTTATTATTTTTGTATTACGCTATGTCCTAGCTAGAACGATTTTAGTGTGTGCACGCACCACAAACCATAAACGGAAATTTGGTGAAATTTGTGGGGGGACTGAGTATTATTAACTTATTATACCTATAGATACCACTATACGCAATTATTTATTTCAACAAGGCAATTTACGAAGTTTGACAATTTGATATTTTTAATCAACAATTTAAACAAAAAAAACAATTAGGTGCCTTATCTTAAACATTTTTGGAGTAAGTATTCTAAACAAAAATTATTAATTAATTAAATTAAAAAACTTATACGGGTACTATTACATATTATTAATATTACATTGAAATGGTTCCGAGTCATGAAAAGAAGTTTGTAAAATCTTAAGAATTTGATTTAATTTTTATCACAGAATATTTTTTTTTAATTTACAATTATAATAATTATTATATTTTTAATCACTTAACAATATTTAGGGATAGGGGGCTAAGACTTGTACTTTATATTTCTGGGGGGCTTATTCCCTTGAAGCCCCCCCCCCTCGATTTCCACCTATGCCACAAACACAAACGAAGAATACAAAAGAATTTGTTTTTGTCACATGCAATATGTCCGTATTAACTAGGAGTAGAATATAGTGTTAGTATTTTTAATTTTAATAGATATTATAATTTAAAAAACTTTATACACATATTAAATAACCCCTTCTTCCCCGAAAATAAATTTTAGTTACGCCATTAATTGAAATTAACATAAGGATAGTTTAATTTAAAAAACTGTTGCATAGTTGTATAAGAAATTGATATTTTATTACATAGGCAGGTAATAAAAAATATAAATATTTCATTATTGGAGGGGGGGCTCAGTCTCCACCAATGAAAAATAATATTTTTCCTCGATTACTTAACACTCGTATTAACCAATATTAACCCGAATAATAACGGTTATTAACACCCAAACGTTTGTTTAAATGTTGTATTGCGGTGTTTGAACATTCTAATATATTCAACACCCGAAACCCGAAACCCGAAAAAATTATTCGGGTGAAAAGCCTTGATTTTCAATAATAATTACGAATAAACTTAAAACACATATAATCGATCGTATTTTTTTTTTTTTTTTACTCGTACATTTACAATCCAGTTTCAGCCCTAATAAGTGGCCTCTTAAAATAGTCTGACCTAAAATTTTCTAACTGTGGATCCGCCCCTGATTAAAGTATTACAACTTAATTTCTTTTTAACTATAAAACAATTCATAAATGCTCATAATTATAAACTATTAAGTCCCTTAATTGTGTTTTTGATATTACTACGATCATTCATTTAAATATATTATTTCTTCGAACACCCCCCACCCTTTAGAAAATTCCCGAGCTTAACACTGGAAGAAGCATATAGTATATTATCATCCATATGGACATTTATTTTACTATAACTATTCGAATATATAATATTAATAATAGTAATTGGCCACCGATGGTGAAATTAAAATGCGAGGCAAATTTGTACATACAATGGTCAATAGTCACTATTTCTGTTTATCAATTTATGTACCATTGATAATAATGTATTTCCTAGGCAATATAATTCAACAAACTCAATATAATTTTCCAGTCATGTTTGATTAATGTACACAGTATCAATGCGTTAGTAAAAATTTTATTATTATATTGTGTACAAGATTATTGCGTTGTATGATATAATGTGTCCATCACAATTTTTACGTTTACAAACAATATTCTTCTAACCTACCTGTTTTCGATACTAACAGTTATTTTTTTGTTTGTCGAAATAGACACATCATTTCGATTGTTTTGTTCTTCAGTTAAGGCCACCGAAACCTGCAAAAGAAAATATAACAAAAAAAACATTATTATGTTTGAGACTATTATATATTTTATTCAACATTCAACTGAATCATTGAACTAATATTGTCGTAATGATACGATCGAAATATTTAGTTCACAACTAATAATCCTTTTATGTTTTTAACCTTCAACTATTGAAAATAGAAATATACTTATTACAGATTCCCAGGTGTATGAATGGTGAATATGAACACATATATAATACAATGTAATAACTGTAAGAGTTAATAGTTCAATAGATATTATTTTCATACTATTCACTGTTAATATTCTTTACTAAATAAACGTACTGCAGTAGTCTCAGTGCACCTTCCCACTGACATGCGGTAGAAAAAAATACTCACATCTGCACTCATTACACTAATCAAAACTTTTTCATCGATGCACTCAAAGTTATAAGTATATTATGTGTCTATACAAACCCATAAAGTTTGCATGCAAACAAAACATTAGGTTCCATTCTCAACAATAATTGTTAAAAATAATGGTACCTAGTTATACAATATACATATAATTATAAATTTTGTTACGCTATATTCGACAACGGTTAAAATAATTAATTTATTATCAACTGACAAAAATGTAATTTTAATGTAATTATTTACATGGGTTATCTATACGAGTGCTGTCTGTATATTTATCATTATATTTTTTAATGATGATTAAAATTTGAAAGTAGTAATTATTTTTCTTAATCTTCTAACAATAAAGTAATCAAAACTGTAAAGATAAGCTTGCGTCGATAATCTCTTATTTTTTTTTTCTTCTTCCTCGAACTGATTGTAAGTCCTATATCTCTTAAAGATATTACACATAACTCAGAGTCCGACTGAGAAAAGGTAAATATATCTGATTCATCTTGTTTTGATGCACAAAATCGCATACCTATCAAACTGCTTCCCATGATTATTCGTCAAAAACCGATGATTTCTGCTTCGCATAATAGTATATGCAATTAATTTTTGTCACGCCCTAGATTTCTCGAACCGGGTCCTGTTGGTTATTACCGTAAGATTTGACATGGCGACATGATTGTAACTGTATTATTTTTATAAATAATCGATGGCCCAAATATAGGTAGACTATATATATAGCTACAGTATATAATATACAGCTATAATATAGCTACAGTAGAGGACTTCCCTTTTGAGCCGATCCTTATGCACACGGAATGTTCATTATTCATAAATTATGACAACCGTTATATTTATAAATGCACAAATTTATATTACAGATGCGGCAGTCAATAATTATTTAACTGTACGCATAATAATTATTTAGGTTAGTACGCTCATGCTTGAAAAATTATAAATTTAAATTATATCACCTATGTTGTGCATCATGACATAATTATCCAACAATACATACATTTTATGTATTATTAACTGTTGAACATTTTTATAAAAGATAAAAAAAATTAACATATCGCACTAAAAATACAATCCCAGCATGACGCATTATCTATCAACCATATGAATCGTATAATAAATCGATTCGAAAATGTAAATTTGATACGATCCTAATTCAGTCCATTCTTGCTTAAATGACCGATGATTTATGTAGTACATATTCGTTAACCTAAATATATATATAACAATAAAACAAAGTGAAACGTGATAGAATAATATTTAAAACTATGTCGATGAGATGATATTTCATAAACGTACGTAGACTATTTCGACCACATTTAGGATGATATCTAGCTGAAATATTTTCCCAATCGGGCTTATACGAAATATGATAGTAAAAAAAATAAAAAAATATTTAATCAATAATAATGTTGATAAAAAATAAATAATAATAATGGGATCGGAGTATTTAATGAGGATAAATTTTTGAACGTGATGTAAAAATATTTATACTTGTACGTGACAGTGGCCGATTTAAAGGTTCAAATGAAGTCGACAAATCCAAAAGAAGGACTAATAAATGTATCACTAACATTCTTAGCCCCGTTTTACAAAGTTGTTCGCTACACTCGCGTTTCCGCGATATGAAAATGGAAAAATAGTACATTACAAAAAAAGTGATGCTGCAAAACTGATAACAAATCATTGTTCACATAATAGTGTTCATACTTGGAAACTATGTAGAATTCTATGATCGATGCTAATAGTATTTCTAACTTTGTTTAAAAATAAAACTATTTTTGAAGTATTCGGAGTGTTCCTGAGTATTTCCTGTACATTTAAATTATTTTATTATAAATAAAAACGGCAATTGTAAACGATATTACGGTTTGTATTATATATTTCTTTTTCTTTTTTGTGGTAAAATTTAAAAAAAAAATTAACTATAATATTTTTGAGCCTTAATTTAGTTTAACGACCGTTAAACCCGCCACTGATACGTGATATCAGACGTAAAGCTTACTGTCTGGTACGATCACGTAAACAGTAATGATAAACATGTCGGATTGATCGCCGTAAACCAGTGCGTTGTAATGGTTTTATAATACTTGTTGAAGAAAAAATGATCGAACGATAATTGCCGTTTGTATTACGTGAACGCTGAGACAAAAATGTTTTACCGTTTAAACGAAAAAAAAAAAAAACATTCCGATTCGCCGTAAACCAAGATCTGCAAACGGATCGATTGTAGTTTTTATCGAAACGTTAAAATAGAAAAACGGTGTCCGCGAAGGTTATTCGGGCCCTGTGTTCCGGGCCCCGGTAACGATCGTAAAATGGTAACGTGTGTGCCCGGGCCCTATTACTTCGCGATAAAGATAAAACGAACCGCGGCGGCGATTTTACTGGCTAATAAAATTATGTTTACACGACCGATATTTGGCCGTTTTTGCAGACGGCGACGGCGTGGACGTTGCGCGGCAAAGGCATCGGGACCGTCGGCGACGACGGCGCACCCTGCCGGAACGCGTGGCAAGCGTACGGCCTGTACATGACCGGATCGGCGGACGCGAGCGGCACACCGGCGGAAACGTCGCGGTCCCGCGACAGGCCCCGGAACAACGGCAAGCGGCAGGCGGTGTTCGACTCGGAACCGAACGACAAGGGCACCGGCGACGGCAGTTCAGCGACGACGCCCAAACCGTTCCAGTGGCTGACCAAAACGTTCGCGTTCGTCAAGCGCATGTTCACGTTCGTCATCATACCGTTCTTCAAGTTCGTGCGCAACACGTTCTTCCAGACCCGGTCGTCGGACGACACGGTGGTGGACGTCAGCGAGACGCACCTGACCGTCAGCGAGGTCAAGTTCGAGCCGCCACCGCCGTCAAAAGTGACGGCGGCAGACGATTTCCCGGACGGCGACAGCGACAAGAGCAAGCGACACGCGTCCACGTCGTCCGAACGGGAAGCGAACGGCGCCGACGATCGTCCGTGCCGCGCCGTCAGCGAGCGCGTCAGCGTGGCCGACCTGGTGGCCGCGGGTGCCACCACCGCTGCCGACGACCACCCGTTGTCGCCGAACGCCGGCCGGTACTTGCGGATGGTCAGCGACGGGCTGAACGACGTCGGCGTGAACGCGGCGTTCGTCCGCCGGGCGTTCGCGTGCTGCGGCCGGCACGAGCTGTTCGGGCCGCCGGCCGACCACGTCGTCATCGACTGGCACCGTACGCCGGCCCGAGCGCACAACGTGACCGTGTCGCCGCACGTTTGCGGCCGCACGTCTTAACGGTCGGAGCAACCGTGTAGCGGTCCGCGGGCGAACGACGTTGACGGTTCGTCACCGCCGCAACTCTTATCGCTCAGGTTCGGAGCTTGAAGCAATAAAAACTGTGTTCTCGTTAACAGGTTAATGGTTTTTTTTTTTTTTTTTTGTAAATAATAATGTTCAACGCAACGCGGATCGCACTATCGAATTGACTGGTAAAAAAAAAAAAAAAAAGAAACAAAATGATCGAACTATTTAGTAAGTATGTGTAGATTATAAGGTCATAACCGCAAGGGAATCATTCGGTCATAAGTGTGCGCATGAGGTAGTCAGGTTAGGCACTCGACTACTATGTGAACCTTCTCTCCCTCACCAAAATATTCAATATTATCACATTAATAAATAACCATATCAATCACTTCGAAACGTCCGTAAGTTGTAAATACACGTATCAGAATATTGGAAAGTATAATTATTAAGTTACATTAAATTACGCCATCAAAATTTGTTGTTAATATTAAATGTTTAGAATAAACCGATTTCGCGCTGCGGATTTACACCGGTATGCAGACTAAAGGGTGAAAACCGTTTAGTTTAACAACGGAATTCGGTGCGATTGAACACAGTCTCCGTACACAGTCGGCAAAGTCCGCGAACCCCTCATCACGCGTATCGCTCCAGTCAAGGGTTGATAATAAAATATTACCGTAATGTCCCGACGCTCCTCCCGACCCGTAATCATCTGATTTCGTCGATTTATCGATTCAAAAATCCGTCGAACGGAATCGCGTACTCGCCATCGTTCGTTGTGCATTGCGCGCGCGGGGACGACGCACGTCCGGAGATTACGTGAAACAATTTCTTCGGTTTTCGCACGTTCGAATGCGTACAACGAATTCAATACACGCGAGTACACCAATCCTCGTCTTCGTCCGACACCGTTGGTAGGGCACAACGCGCGAACGTGTTATGATGAAAAATATATAAAAAAATAGTAATAACAATAATAATAAAAATACTGTACTGAAATAATAATAATAATAATAATAACAATAATGTTAAAATTTACGAAACTCCGTTGCCGCTATCGGAACGCGTGCGTTACATTCGCATTACAATCGAAATGTCATATTACGCGGTGACTGCAGCGATGTAAGTAATGAATTCAATAAAACGCGTTAAAATGTGGTGCGTAAATTATTCAACAATAATAGTTGTAATAGGTATATTGTGTTGAAAATAGACCTTTATATTCCTTCTTCGGGACTATTGTAAATACATTGTATTCAGATAATATATATTGATATTTGTATTATTTTTTTATAATTATTATTTTTATTTTTTTTTATTTTTTGAACTTCGTAATCGTGTTAATGTTACACATATTATTATTATGATTTCTCAATGCTAAACGTCGTCGTAATTTTTGCATTTATTTTATATTTTAATCGTTATTAGTCGTCATATTATTATTATTATGATACATTATGTAATACGATCGCTTTTGTTTAGTTTATTTTCTTTTCGACTATAATTATTTATAAAATCGTGTGTAGTGTATTTCATTGCGTTAATATTAAATTATGTATATACCTATAATGGTACATAATATAATGTTATACATACTTGATAAATGTGCAGCTTTTTTGTTACCTATCAAAATACTGTTTTTTATCCTTCATCGATTGTTGCGTGTGACACTGTCGCGTCAATTATGTATTAATTCAGCTAAACGTGTATAAAAGTGTTTTATTTTCTACATACTTTACTGCCACCTATACGTCGTGGTGCCATTTATGAAATACAAGTTTTACTTTGGCATTTCTATTATCTTACACGTCAGTGTATTGGTCCGGACCAAATTAATTTTTGACCCCATGAACACTAAAGACGTTATTATTGTGTCAAAATGGAAAATTGAAAACGATGATACTAGTTCGTGCCAAGATGAATGGAGTGTATAATCCGATACCGGGTCGTCTCTATGGTTCTTATTTATGTTAGCACGTGTTTGAATATTTTAACCTTGCTGGATCTGGGTGCCCTCAATTAAAATCTTCAACTAAACTATTATTACACTGACCCCATAGTCGTTGACTATTAATTACTGATGATCATAATTACCACACTACGAAGATCTATATAGTTTTACTTTATTACGCGTTGTACATAAATAATTATTCAACAATGAGATGTAGTGTATTAATTAAAATAATACTTACAAATTACAATCAGCCAACATGGTAAGTCTTGACTCTGGGTATATCGTTGAACGTGTATTATATATTCTTGCGTATTCGTATAAGCTATCAATATAATCGTACATATTTAATGATTTTCATCAAGTTAGACTGTATGATTATATAAAACCATAGATATCGGGTGTGGTTGTTTTTTCTACGCACACAAACATTTTCTGTTGAGACATCGTATCATCATTTTGTAACACAACTTTAAAATTATTGTACCAACTATAGGTTGTAAAAAACTCGACACATTAAATTATGATTATTTTGTAAGAAAAAAGACTAATCCAAGTAAAACGGTTTAATTTTTATTTTACTTGAGCTTTTTAACTATAACACGATGCACCGCCCGATACAAGTAATTTAAAATCGTTTAAATATGTTATATATTACCCATTCAATTAGATTATTACCAATATTCTTTTCGATAACTTTGTATTCACGCTTTTTAATCATTTTAATTTTAACAAGTCCATTAAACATAAGTTAAAATATAAAATTTGTTATTATTTAGTTTGTTGAAACGGTGAAAATTGTTTCATGATGACATGATATAACATTATAGCTATGTTTTAAAATTATTGTATATCTTACAAAATAAGAGGGACATTTCATATCGGGAGGAGTTATAACCTGTCAACCCCTCCTGGCTACGCCACTGCACACAGGTACAATGTCATTATAACTGAATCGGTATTTGCAGGAGTTATTGAAAATTATGGCAAAAAATAAATTTCTACAATAACTGTCAAATGGAATTTTAAAAAATATTATTGAGCCATAATATCGACGGAGGTGAATACAAATGTTGAACATATATTTATACATCTCGAAGGAAATATAATACGATGGCTGAAATCGACCAGCCATGTCATGGTAATAATTGTCTGCAACCGATGTAAATTTAATATTTCCCTGTGTGTACACGAAGTCAACAGCTATAATACAATACTTACTCACGTCTTGTTCTACATTCATTATTATTAGGTCAAACACGAGGTCGGTTAAAACCCGCGAGGACGGTAAAGGTATTGTGTATAGAATAACCCACGTCATCGAATGATACCGTTGTAACCCGGGAAAATAATACACTTTACCCTTTTAGCCAGCCACAGTCGGTTTTTTTGGAACACACCCGGCCACAACGGCGGGAATAGGTCACCGGTAGACGGCGCAAGGTGATATAATGAAAGAGAAAGAAATGTATATCCAACCTAACTTAAATTATATATATATATATATATATAGATACAGAGAGAGAGAAAGTAACTGCAGTATTCTACTACAGTAGCAGAAAAAAAGAAACAAATCATTCATTATTTTATACAATTAAAATATAATCCATACAATGTATAATACTGAACAAAAAAAAATGTTGAACAAATTTTAACGCGCACAGAAACAGTCGTATGCATTTTTAATTTTTACGACCAAATAGTGTGGAAAACGCAACAAGAGTTGATTTATTTTCGACATTTGGCAAACATCTCCGGACTTGTTTCGCAACACAGAGAGTACAGAGCTCATAAAATTATTTATAAATTTGAAAAACACGTTAATGCATATACGTACGTTTATTGTACATACACATACATTTATAAACCTTGAAACAATATTTTTCACTCAAGTTTCCACAACACAACACGGCCTATTATCAATGTACAATTACTGGTTTGATTGTATGCAATACAACTGAAACATTCCTAGCGCGCATGTAATAAACTGTACACACTGAAGCGATTGACGTAACGTAGGTGGTATCTACAATATATCTAATAATAACAACACACAATAAAATGTTGACACGTATGACACGTTAACTGGCAAACGGTAGAAACGGACGAATTTTTCTTTTGATTTCTCAAAAGCTGATTGACAGAATCGAAGAAGGAGAAAACGTGCTCAGCTCGCTTCAAATAAATCGGTGAAAAATCTTCGGTTAATTATTGTAAAAGTTTTTTTGATTGAATTGTATCGCAAACGAGTTAAAACGAATGATGTGTCAATATTTTGTTTAAATAACGAAAACTTGCTGAATTAAATATTCTGATATTCTTACATTCAACCCATGTATTATTGTATCGACAGTTTGCAGGGCCGAACTTAAAAGTCTCAGGATCCCAAGGCAGCTACTAAATAAGGGCCCATTTAAATATATATTAATAACATTGCTTTTAATTTTTATATATTCAACGTAATTTAACAAGAAATTATATTATAATTATTATAATTATAAAACATATGTATTAAATATAGAAGAACATATTTATGAAATAAATTGACAATTTTAATGATAGTGTTTACTTAATAATTAAAATAATTTTTAAATTGTTACACAACGAACTTTTTTTGCTGTAAAAGAACGTATGATTTCACTTTAGTCTACTGCTTGCATTATTTCTGACTCAAAGTATAACACGAAATATATCCCCGTGTTGATCCATTTGGTGAGAAAACTTCTTTTTCTTTTTTTCGGTGTTTGGCTGAGGGCCCTGGAAAGCTGGAAAGGTGCGGACCCACAGGCAACTACCTAGTCTACCTAGACCGAAGTTCGGCCCTGATAGTTTGATTGAACAATAAATAACGATTTCATGTTTTACTTAATGAGAACGTCGTATAGAAATTTGTCATCTCGAACTACATGGTCTAAACGCAGTACACGTTCAACATGACAGATTTATACTTTTTACACGTACCAGATGTCCGGCAGTATTTCGTCGCCTTGAGTGTAAATCAGCCCGGGTAGATTTAATCATATAATGAGAAACAAAAGAACATGGGGATTGCACGATCTTTCGTAATTATGAATTGGAGATAACACAATTCAGCGGGGGCGTATGTTATTCCAGAACACAATAAACCCGTTGCTTTCCAGTTTATTCCAAACAACAAAGCCACAAAAGTGCTACTCCGATAAGACGAAAATTAGTATGATAAATGTACACAACCAAATAGTATTTTATAATAAAATACGTGTCATTATGCTTTTCTTTATCAAATTATATTTTCTGAAAAAATTACATTTGTCTTTGTTATAATAAATAATTGTAAGTTGTACATTTTCTATTCGCCATCCCTAATGTATAATATTGCTAAAGTACACATTTCAGAATTTGAAATTCAGATAGCAAGATATATCCTCAAGATTTTTTTTTTTTTTTACATATAAGTAAAAACTTTTCTTGAATCGAATGAAATCGATTGAAGTCGATTTTAAAAAACTAATACCACCAAAATATTTCCTCCAGTGGATTATCATTTAATCTACTGCTGTGCTTAAAATCAAATTTGATCTTCTTAAAATAATGGCCGAATATAATTAAAACAAATCGCTTCATGTATGTATATATACTATCGAAATTGAATATTGCGTATGTATTAGTTCGTGAATATATAATATTAAATTCATGGATGAGTGAAAAAATCGTAAAACATGTATATAAATGTATTGTAAAGACATATGTAATAATAGTCTGTTTCGTACGGATGTGACTGATTTAAACTACTCGTATATACACTCATATGCAATTGTCAATTGAATTATGATTGATTTTTACAAAAGTAATGTAATGGTCTGAAAGGGTGTGTCAGAGCTTTCAAGAGTGTTTATTTTGATACTCAACGATATTGATTAAACATCATTCGACTTTTAGTTTTCGATATGATATGCAATATTTTAGTTTATTCATTAATGTACAAGAGGCCGCAACGCCTGGTTAATTACATTGAATAGCATTAAATAGCACCGACTAATTTTGTACTTTTAAATTTAAATAATAATTATAATATAATCCGTGTAACATAAGTTGTACACAACAGTTTTATTTTGACATGTTGTAAATAATGAGAAAATCCAATTTAATTTAACTCATATCTATGGCAGTGGCAGTCAAACACGTGTTATTTGCCGTTTTTAACAGGAAATAGGTGTAAAAAAAAATCACAGTACCAAAGGTTCTAGAATTAAGGTCACCCGGTATCAATATATGAAAAAAAAGTCCTGTAAAATAATTACAGTCGAAGGCCTACGAAGAAAACACTGGTTTCGATTAAAGCACCACTGCCCATTAGTTGTTAGTCACAAACTATGTTATTGTTAATTATTATAATAAATTGATCTAGTAAAAAATCTATTCAACATAGATTGCATATTAATACGAGCATATGTTCAAAAACTGTTATCAATTCATTATAAAATATAAATAATAATTT